GTTTTACTGTGATGCGGTAACATCACCACACATCGGACATCCACATCGGACAGGCAGACAGATAAAAATTCTAAAAACTACAGACTCGGCCTCTGTATCGATAATAATGTCTATTTCAATAAGATTTTCCAAAAAATATTATATAACGGATTCGACTTAGTTACAATTTTATTATATGTATAGATTACATCCAATTTCGTCCAGCGTGAAGGAATAATAATAAACACATACAATTTACCTACATACAAACCTTCAATACAGTACAATAACAAAACTACAAAATCACATTTCTATTTTTGCACTCGACACTTGCCTTGTCTTGACTTTGTATATCAATAAAAATTGTCAAAGTTTCTTAGACAAAAAAAATATATATCCAATAACTCCTTAATTAATCTTTACATACAAACAAACATTTTCGCTCTTTTTCGAAGTTTAATATGAGATTCCAAGTTATACGTTATGTAAACTTAGGTCTAGCTAAGTCTCCAGTCAAACATATTAATCTTAAGGCAAACAATGTAGTGACAAGACGCCGTACATTTCAATTAGTTGGGATGTCGACATTTCACGCCACTATCTTCGCGTAATTATGTTAATTACCAACTGGTAATCGAACTTCGAACCCTCCCCTTACGTGAATGAAATTAGAATTTAATGTATTTTTGCTGTATTTATGGAGACTAAAAGCTAATGTGTTATATCTAAAAATAATTACATATTTTAAATTGTAGTTTTATATAAGAAATAAATATTAGATTTTTGCCTTTTTTATTTAAATGAAAATAAATGCTCTATAACGAGTAGGTCTTACTAAAGAATTATTATAATAATTGCTATAATGTACATTTTTTTAAAAGTATATAATATACTCTATACATTGCAAACAAGCATCCTACATAATTAGTCAGAATATTCTATTATTTTATTTAAAAAAATAACCAATATAACAAATTAGGCTATTTTAATTAGCAAACTTTTTGGTGTGGAAGTGTTATTTTATTCCAATCTCTACTTTTTACCTGTCACATAATCCCGATTAGGAATGTAAAAAGCGACGTAGATAGAAATTGCATGTCCATTTCAATCAATCTCGTTTGTCTACAATTAACGGGACTGCGCTCACTGACTGTTCAAAGTTCAACTGTAAAAGTTTTGCTATACCTATTCTATAACGTTTATACAATGTTGGGATTTTTAAAAATTCTATATTTCAAAATATCACCTTCAGGTAAATTTCTAAGAAATTAATTAAAATTCTAAGAAATCTATTGTTAACTGACACGCCGGCGTGTCCGCGGTCGTGGAGGGATTATGCTTTGTAATTTTTAATAAAAATGTTTTAATTTTATTTACCTTACAATAAATTGTTAATAAAAAGAAGTTAATAATTAAGAATCTTTACATTTTGTTTTCAATTTAACCTGCTTTAAATCTCTATACTAAAAGAGCACACTAAAAACTACTTAACATACAAACAAACAACATATTAAAACACAAATAAAACTGATAGCGTAGTAGTGTATATATAAAAAATAAATCGAATTCCAGAATAATCCCGCGTGGCATCATGATTGCGATTGCAGGCGGACGCGGACGCAGTTGACGCGCAGTTTTCTGCCCGCGGTTTTCTAATCCGAGACCGAAATTTGTTCACATTTCAGTCACTGCTGAGAGCGGTTTATTTTATTTACTACTCCAATAGAAGTGAATCAATTCTAAAGTAATATCTATGTTAACTATTTGACTTTTTTATTGTTTTAAATATATTTTATTATAAGAACTTTTTTGTATAATAGCATCGTTTTAATTATGTGTTGTTTTAGTATTTATAGTATCTGATGGTACATTAATGCCCGATTTCACCAACATCACTTAAGCTACCACCTACGTATGGGATCCCTAGCTTAAAAGTTCCCCTAAACTAGCCCCTAAATTAAATTTCGTTTACCATCGTCAGAGCCTGTATTTCTAGTACCTATATATTTTTTTTAATTTTTAGATAATATTTATAGATAACTGTCCCCTAACAGCCCCCTAACTATGCTTAGAGGATCCCTTAAACTTAGGTGACGTTGGTGAAATCGGCCATGGGTGAAATTTGTTCCACCGGAAACTGATGTTGATTCCTTCTAAATGTTCTTTCTTCTTCTTTATGTTTTCTGTAAAATATGGAGTGCTTTTATATAATTTTCAATTTACCCCACTATAGAATATAATATTAGGTATATAGCTATAATTAGTTATCTAATATCTTTCATTTGAATTACGATATACATTTAAATAATCTATATAAGTCCAGACTAAACTTTTTGCTCCAATTGTTCAAAACCTGGGGAAGTATAATCAACTAGGAATACTGATCTGCGAGATCGAGAGAGGTGTACTTACGTTTTTTACTTACTTACGTTGTTATTAAAGTCAATAGCAGTGCTTTTAAATAACCTTCTTCCTTCCTTCCATAAGAAGTTTTTCTAGAGATAGAAATTTGACATAGGTTACACACAAATAATTTGAAATCCCTATCGTTAGTAAGAAAAACCACTGGTAGATAGTTTATTGGAATATAACTATGAATAAAATAACATAAAGATGAATAAAATAAAGAGGAAAAATAAAGCAAAAAGTATCGACTAGTTAATAATTATATTATACAGTAATCTGTACTGTCTAAATTTTAACTGTCATTAAATGTCATTTGTCACACAACCTTTGAAATAGCAACATTTAAAATAATCCTATGGATTATTTTATGAACTAAATTTTAAGTAATTTACATTGAACAATTAAATTTAATTAGAAAAAAATTACAGTTAAAGTCTATATATTTAATAAGCTATAAATAATGTTTTAATTAAATAATATCTTTAAATGTTAAGATTTCTTAAATAATTATGGAGTGTAGTCGACCACAACATATCCCTAGTGTCTTTAGGAAAATTAAAAATGATGATTCTTTTAAGGAAATAAGAAAAACCGATAGCTGTACACAAACAAAATGTATACGTAGAAAGAAAGGTATTTCTTCCTGCTATTATCTATACTAATATTATAAAGAGGTAAAATTTGTGACGTTGTAAGGGGTTATCTCTGGATCTACTGAACCGATTTAGATGGAATTTGGTAAGAAGATAGTTTGAGACCCTAGGAAGGACATAGACTTTTTATCCCTAAAATCATCCCTTAAGGGGGTGAAAATGAGGATGAAAGTTTGTATTGGGAAACAAGCTAGGGACAAACCCGAGCGAATCGAGGGTAAGTCGCTAATGTAGCTATAAAAATACAGTACAATATATAATAATATATTTACAATTGTAGCTAAATATAACATACGATGTCCCATTATACAAAGAAGCTTGAGTAAACAAATTACTCCAACGGAAAGACCAAAAAGAAGGAAAAGTAAGACTTTGTTTATTTTAACATTAGTTATCATAAAAATCTATGTATATTCAAAATTTAAGAAGTCTTATACGTTAAAAAAATAAAATTTTACAAGTTATACTTGTATAAAAATATGTATACAGTTAATTTTACTGAGACTGGTCTTTTTATTTTGGTTTTAAATACTATACAATTCCGTAGTCCTAAAAGATGATAACGTCTGGTAAAAAATGGAGTGTCTGGGAGAAAGATTGAGTGCGTGATAAATACCACAATTTCCACTACAACGACCCAATTACACAGAAAAGCCGAAAAAATTCTTCATAAATAAATATTTTATCTCTATACAGGACTCAAACCCATTATCTTTTTAAACGAACGAAAAGCACGAGCTAATCATTGGTAGATAATAATAGACTTGTTGTTTTTCAATATATCCATTTAAATTTAAATAACAGAAACCACTTTCTACTTCTTTATAACTATTTAAAATTCATTTCAGTTCTGTTAATGGATTGGAAAAGATTTCACAAGCTAAATGTAATAAATTCATTTATGAATGAGTTGGAAAGAGACTTTCCAGCCATTTGTACAGTATCCGTTATTGGTAAATCTGTCGAAGGAAGGAGTATCAAGGTATTGTAGGTCCTGATGGAAAATTTTGACATCATTTTTAGCTTTATTTACTTTTAGTTAAAATTTTCTTCATTAACTTTATGAATTTTTGAATTGAAATGAAGATTTATTGAAATATGCATTGCGTTAAAAAGTCCAATGCTTTTCATTTTCAATCTAGATTGCAATAGCTTTACAAATATACAGAAATTTATCTAGTCAAATTATGCTACAATCAAACTATACACTGAAATTTTTTTAATATTAGAACAAAATTTAAAAGCCGTTATTTTCTATACATATAATAAAATTGTAAGTAAGCCGAATCTGTACATTAATTAATTTTTTTTGGAATACTTATTGAAATAGACATTATTATCGATACAGAGGCCGAATCTATAGTTTTTAGAATTTTTGTTTGTCTGTCTGTCTGTTACCGCATCACAGAAAAACCACTGGAGGGATTTTGATTAAATTTGGTATGGTGATAGCTGGTTATCCGGATCAACATATAGGATACTTTTTACCGCGGGAAAATGTCTAATTTCTGGGAAGAAATACAAAAACTGCAATGTAAGAGTATACTACTATGTAACATCTAATAATTTGGTTTTTTATCATCAGAACGCGGGCGGAGCCGCGGGCAATGCTAGTACAATATATAAGTAGATATTTCAAAAGGAACTGAACGTATCTAACCCTACTGCACCCGTTAGTGATAATGTTAAGATAGATAGAAAGATTTTGATAGGTAGATAGATAGATAGATTTTGATAGATAGATAGATAGATAATAATATTATTAATGTTTTAAATAAATCGTTTCGGATTATTTCGCGGATTCACCTTATTTTTTTCGGGAACCAAAAATCTAAATAAATCTGCGAAATAATCCGAAAAGACTGTTTTATATAAAATGTCAAATATTCGCGTAAATCTAAGAAAGTAATATTAAAGTTATTAGAAAAGAAATTTGCTATTTCATAGTTATTTTACCACTAGATGTTAAAGATATCTAACAGTAATGCGACCAACGACGCAGTGTGGCTAGACGCAGCCATTCACTCGCGGGAGTGGATCAGCACCGCAGTCGTCACATACCTCGCCGATTACATCGTCCGGAACTTTCAGGAGCTCTCTACATCGATAACTAATAAAGACTGGTAATAGCAATTGTATTTTTAAAACCGAAACTAAAATTAGACTCGAAAATATGTTATTAGCCAAAATTAGCATGTAAGTTTTAATGATTTTTTTTTCGTGAATTTTAACTGGAAATGGACTATGATTATAATCTGGCAAAAAATATTTTATTTGTACATATATTTTTGTTACTAATTTTGGATACTAATTAAAATATAAAGGTATAAATTCTAGGTATATAGTGCCAGTGTTAAACCCAGATGGCTACGACTACACACACACGAGGGACCGTATGTGGAGAAAGAATCGAGCGCGCCACGAAGGCGAGTGTGTTGGCGTAGATCTTAATAGAAATTTTAGGTGATGTATTGATTCAATAAAATATAATACAAGCAATGCTAGTGCTAAACCTTTAAATACTGGAATTTTAAAATATTTGTTAATATTTCCTTTAATATATTTGAAATTTACAACTTACAAGCCCAGATCTGAGTTCGATTCTCGTTATGGGTACATATTTGTGGGTTTAAGAAATAAATACAAAGAAGTGACATATCACTTCTGCTCTCTTTGTCTAACTCGTAAAGAAAACATATTATGCAAATAGATTTATTTTCATAGTAAATACGTTAACTTGGATTTCAGCAATGAGTAAACTTTTCTTTCCTTTGTAGTTATGCGTGGGGCAATAATGGAGAGGAAGGTTCCTCCGATCTGCCCAGCAGTGCGTTTTACAGAGGACCCACGCCGTTTTCAGAACCTGAAGCACTTGCTGTTAGGGTAATAACCATTGTTTAACTTTGTAACAGAAATATAAAGGATTCATTAAATAAATAACTAACTGGTTTTCAAAACTATTTGGTAGGTTTGCACAATGTTTGTATAAGGCTAAACGTATATTGTTTATATACTAATTGTAACTGCCTCGGTGGTGTAGTGGCTAGCATGTACGGCTGCACACTCGGAGGTCCTGGGTTCGAGTCCCGGGTCGGGCCAAGTTTAGTTATTGAGTCTTTCTGTATAGTAAGTCTCAGTAACAGCCCGAAGTTGGGTAGTTGGCAGTGTCTCACCCCCGTGCCTCGGAGAGTACCTAAATCCGTCGGTCCTGTGCCTTAACTCTCACCGGTCGTGTCTAGCAGTCGTCCCACCAGAGTATGAGAGTGACAGGAATAGATTGCACGTTGTGTCTGCGCGTACACTTGTGCACTTTAATATCTCCTGCGCAGTTGGCTAGTCTCAATGAGATTGGCCGCCGTGGCCGGAATCGGCCAGGAGAACATCATCATATAGTAATTGTATATTAATCACTAAAATTTAAACTTAATTCACATTATATGCCTCATTTATATACCCAAAAGCTCAACTCAGTCAAAAACGATGTTTTATTTATTTTGCATGAGCATGTAGATTATTTATGTATAACATTATTTTTAGGACACCATTTTAGGCTCGTCAACACCTTTCAAAGTGTTCCTATCGTTCCATAGCTATTATGAACTGATTATATTCCCCTGGGGCTACAAGACGGACCCATGTCCAGACTACTTACGTTTGCTGGAAGGAGGTGCGGTAATGGCCAGGGTAACATGTCCGCGTAAGAATTTAGTAGATTAGTAGTATTATATGTATTGTTATTCACAATTAAAGTAATGAAATTATTGTCAGAAATACTAATATTTGCGTATTATAACTCTATCAGTTGAGTTATACGAAATGTAACGGACTGACATTTTTTTTAACCTATAAAGTTAATCTAAATTTATATTAAATAAAATAGACTATTCTTCGCCTTAGTATTTATTTGTTCAAATGACCAAAACTTGTTTTATTAAAAAAAAGCTTTATCTCTTCATATACATATGTACATAATTATATAGGTAAAATACATTTATATATTTATAAAATTGCTCGTTTAATACAAAATAGCTCGTTTAAATATATAAGATAAACACTGAGACAACGCAGTGGCTACAAGATATGTACTTACGTACATTATGTATATCCTGTGTGAATAAATACGAGTTTATTTCAAAACCACTTACATGGATTCTTTATATCAAATTTGAGTGTAATAGAACTTAACTTTACAATAAAGGTCACATTATAATTTATTCAGACACTCTTTAAAAGTGTTTAATTTATTAACGTTGTGATAAAATTTTGCAGGCAATTTTTGATAGTAGCGGTATGATATACAAAGTGGGCACCACAAAAGACATGACGTACTACGCGTGCGGTACAAGCACGGATTGGAGTTACGCCATGGCTAAAATCCCATACTCGTACATGATTGAACTGAGAAGTAAGAAATATAGATTTAGATTACCACAGGATCAGATTTTAGACACTTGTATAGAGATTTGGTATGCTGTGAAAAGTTTGATGGAATTTGTTGATCAGCCCGAACAATCTAAACATTAAAGTGTAAACATATAATTTCGTATACATATAATTAATGTTATAAGAATATAACAATTTATCGTAATTTCTATAATTGGTACTGTAATTGCAAAATGCGCTTAATCTATTATAGAATGTTTTTTGTCGTGTAGTTTGTTTTATTCTGAACGTACAAAAATTTAAAATAAATTACTTTGAACTTTGAAATTGTTTTAAAATATAGATTAGGCCATTTATGCACTGGCTACTCTTTACAAATATTTAATTGACAATAAACTTCAATAAATACTTTAAAACTATGAAATATAACTATTATAATGTGTGTATAATAAAATCACATACAAAATAATATCATATATTTTTATTATAAAACATAGTACAGTTCAAACATTTCTTTCTATCCACAAAATCTGCTAATGCCTTAACACCGTTGTAAATTTCTCTGCAACAGTCTTGTATTTCATCTCTAGGCAATACAAACTTATGCTGTCTACTTCTTAGTTCTATAAGATATGAAAATGGTATACGAGCTGTCCCGTAGCTCCAGTCGATGCTTGTACCAGCAGCTACGTACATGAGGTCCTTGAAATTGCCAACTTTGTACATGCGTCCATTTATATCGTAAATAGCCTGTGGAAACGCAAAAATTAGCTCACCTTGATTTGCTATTTATAATATTTTTATACGTACAATTTTAGAAAGTAATATTGTTAGGATATATTTTTACTACAGTGAAATGAAATTTAATAAAATTTATTAAGTTACAATTCTTTAAAAAAAATAATGGCTACGATGATACTGCAGAAGTATATCTATCGACACTCTACAGAAAATAAAGTATTACAGAAAACATAGTATACATAGTAAAATAAAACGTAGATATCAACAAAAAAAATCTAATCAATTCGTGAGACCAGTTCCTTGCAAATTCTTAAAAATGTTTGGCAAACAAATTTCTTCCATTAATTGTTAAATTGTCATATTCGATAGTAATTCATTCGTGAAGCTTAAAAACGTTTCTAAGCTATACACTTACTTTCGCCATAGCAGTTCCACCTTCCAGTAAGTTTACATAATCGGCGCAGGGATCCGCAGAGAAGCACCAAGGGAAAGTTATAACTTCACTGTACGCGTGAAATGTTAGGAAAATTTTGAAAGGCGTAGCGGAGTAGAGAATGAAATCCTGCGACGATAAAGTTTTTATTTTATTATAATATGAAAAACATTTTTAAATAAAAAACTTTGAATATAAACTGTCTACCTTTATAGCGGAAGCTTCAGGTTCAGAAAAAGGCTCAGGTCCGCGAAAATTATTATGAGACGGATCCTCATGAGAAATCTCGTTGCTACGGTCCCAATAATATCTAAAAAATATGAAAATTAATATTATTAATATTATATTTATGTACAATAAAATAAAATAAAGAATCTTATATTACCCAAAATTTCTATTAAGATCTACACCGTAATAAGTGTTTTCCACTTTTGCTCTATTTTTTCTCCACATACGATCAGTTGTGTGACTATAATGGTATCCATCTGGATTTACAACCGGAAGAAAATACCTAAAGGAATAAGAATTATTGAGAATTATACTTTTAAACTATTTACTACTTATTTAATATAATAGCAGACACCGCGGCTTCGCTCGCGCTAAAACTACAAAAAAATCTCTAAAAAACTAGATTTCATACAAACATTCATCCCCTATTTTACTCCCTTATTGGATGAATTTCGAAATTCATATTGAAGAGAATTAATAATATATAATTCGAATCATAGATATTTTTTACAAACCAACAAACTTTCACATTTATAACATTGGTATGAATTGCTTTCTCCCGCGGCTTAACTTATATGACTTGTGAATAATAATAACCTCTGAAAGAGTATAGCTTTATGAAAGCAAACGAATTGTTAGAATCAGTTTTGTGATTTCTGCTTGTAATTTTAACCAGATAGATACACAACAAAACAAAAACTTTAGCTATTAATAATTAAAGTAAAGTAAAATATTATGCTCTACACCCTGGAGTGAAGTAAAAAAAAAATACTTCTTTATTCATCACTCTGCTCTCTGCTCTCCCTGAAACTATACTTATCTGCCTTCATTTCATATTTCCTTACCGGTTCATTACAGTACAAATATACATACGTAAAAGAAATTTCAAATTCAATTGGTTTAAATTTATAAAATAGATAAACTTTCATAAAAATAATACCCCTGTGCTACGATGATCAAATAAGAATAAACAATAAACATATAATAATTATTAAACACTTACCAATCTTTGTTAGTAATACTATTGGGAAGATTATCAAAATTTCTAGCCAGTTCATTTGCTATATATGTGACAACGGAAGGTGCAATCCACTCACGGGCATGTATACCTCCGTCTATCCATACACCAGTGTTGCCAGCATTACTATTAGAAATTTTTAACATCTGCGCAAATATTTAAACATTTGTATTTTGGAGTTAATTCATACTATTAAAGTTTCATTTTTTTGCCAAAATTCTACAAAGTGGCTTAAAAGTAAAAATTACGAAAAGACTAGATATTTTATAAGAAATATTCAAATAAACCTTTAAATCCCTGCCTTCTACTGACTGGCCGATAGAGGATACTGTACACGTAGACGGATACTGCACTTCAAGGTTATCCATGAAATTATATATTACATGGAGAGGATAAAATTCTTTCCAGTCCAAGACGCGTTCTACAATATCAAAAAAAAGGCTTAGTATTCTTAGTGAAATTATGTATTGGTTTGTCTGTCTTTCACATAGCAATGGTCAATAAATTAATGGTTTTTTTATATACAAATATTTTATAGTCCTTTAATCGACATAGGTTTTGCTATACTGATAAATTAAGTGATTTCAATGGAATATTAGTCATCTCCAAAAAATTTATTTACAAACGAGTCTCTTTTAACAAAAAGAAGAGCTAGTAACAAGAGAAAAAAACCATATAATATATTTAACACTAATAAATCTTTAAGACAAGGTATTTCGTGTTTCGCGTATAACCGAGGCCTTACTAGGAGATCTTGGTCTTGGGCCAAGGACGTTGATGGGGCTTTTATTGCGCGATCCATTTACTTCGGTGCCTGTAACGTCAAAATGAATATCTCTGTCACGTAAAAGCTTCTCCACTTGCATCTTACGGTTTGCATCTACCATGACATCCATAACGCTCGAACCCTTATTGCGAATGTTAATCGCTGAAATAAACAATAAAATTTGTTTATATTTTATAAAATTAAAACGATAAGCAAATATTTCAACTTACATCCTTTATGATGTAAACTTTGCAAGAATAATTTTTGACCTTCTTTTATGCATTTTACGTCCCATATTTGGTATCTTACCACCTTTCGTGCCACTTTTATTAGGTTTTGAACAGGGATTTAGAAAATTAGGATTATTTTAGGTCACATTGAAATTTTGATAATTTTGACATTCATTGACGTTATATGTAGTTATCTTTCAGACAGAAGTCTTAAACGGAAATGCAACTATGCCTGTATCGCTAAAAAGGTTTTCTTATATAATAGTTAAACATTTATTACTGGACAGATCATACTATTATTATATTATAGTATTGTACCCTGGTGCAGTTTGCAATTGAATACTCAAGTGCAAACTTTAAAGTAAACAATGGGCATGTAATCAAGAAGGCTCAAAGAGCTAAGGCGCTAAGAGCCGCGCCACCCGCTCGATAATTAGATGTAATCAGATATTTTCAGTAAACGCCTCGCCAACCCTCGCTATGCACTCCCTTTTAATGAAAATGTCTTACTATTTTTCCTCACTTTGTACTCATTTTAGAAAAAGCTAAAAGTAAAATAATAAAATTAAATATTAAATATATTTGGACAACTAACACGAAAAGTATTGCTAATTAGTAATATAATATAGAGATAGCAGATAAACATTATATGTATGTATGTACATAATTATGTTTTTGCTCTCACTGGGAACTGTAACTTTTGCCACATAGGGTTGTGCAAACATTTTTTTTTATAGTTTTAGCAATGTAAGTATATAATGACTTTAATTTCTATTTCTATAAGTGTTAATAAAGATTTTTTTACAAAAAAGAATATAGATATAAGTAAAATTTCAAACCAAACACCATTTGTTGGCACCAATGGTAACACTCCTAAATTTTATAATGAACTGACCTCATCTTAGCACGTAGTGAAAATCTTAAAAAAATATAGAAATACTAGCAACACCCGCGGCTTCGCCCGCGATCAAACTACTAAAAAAAACAAACTCTTGGTCACACCGACAGCAGCGCCACCTACCGTGTACAATTGTGTTTTCAAACCATCCAGGAACCCATTGAAATATACACACAAAATTTCATCCAAATCGGTCTAGCCCTTTAGGAGAAGTAAGGTGACAAACACACGTACAGAAGAATTATATATACTAACTATCTGACCCGACAGACGTTGTCCTGTCTACACGTCTTTAATTTGAAAATTTCAAACTTTTTTTAATAAGCTAAAACATTCTGGACCATTTTGATGAAAATTATTATTCAAATTGTGAATCTAAACCATTCTCAGATCCCCTTGAACACACACAAAAAATTTCATCAAAATCGGTCCAGTCGTTTGAGAAAAGTTCAGTGACATACACACTCACAGAAGAATTATATATATAAAGATTTATATATATAGATATATATTTTATTTAAGAAATGAGAACCAATAGTAAGAGCAGGTCTCATGGTAACCCGCTAACCAGACGGCGGTCCCCAAACGCCCCCACCCAAATGTCGCCTCGACTTCGTCTTACACACGTTTATCTTTTTAATTGCGCCTCCAGCCTCCCTCTTGTTACTCGCTTGTTAGATTTATCGTGATCCCCTTTTAGTTATTTTATTTTTACTCTAAAACTGACATTTAGAAGGATACCAAAAATAAAAGTTAATGTATGGGCTACATTTTTATAAGAAAAATTGTTAAAATTTTTCGCTGATGGTTTTTTAGGTCAATCTTATATAATATAATATTGATAATTTGATATAAGTGCATGGTTTTTTTTTGTAGTGAAATAGTCATACTGAATTTAAAGGTTATAATAGGTACTGTATTATCGACCTACAATTAATGTTTTTTTAATTACATGATTGAAAATCCGTATTAATTAATACTACTCGTATTATAAATGTAAATGTGTGTCAGTATGTATGATCATCAAACATCCATATGTTTGTTACTCTTTCACGCCAGACCGTCTGCTTTTTATCCCGGAAAAACGTGCGGTTCCCATGGGATAAGTTTGTTTTGTTTTCCTAGAGGTGAACTAGAGCGAAGCGGGGGTGAGCCACTAGTATTATGTATATATTTCTAAAATATGTTTTATAACTTATTTAATTAGATTTTTATAGCTTGTTTATCCCTCTTATTTCATAGCAAATTTAAATAGAATTTAATCTGTATACATACGTCTTATACATATAATGAATTTGTAACTGTCTGTACTTGGAAGATATTTGAGAAAAATTATGATATCTTAATAATTTATTAACGCAATAGAACCAAAAACAATGATTTTTAGATGTTTTGTCTGTTTGTCTGTGGAGTTTCGGTACAGTTTTCACTAATGCACTGCAGTAAGCTTCACCGAACATTTAGTATTTGTTTTATTTCAATCGGCTCATAAACACAAAAATGATGTCAATTTAAAATAAATTTGAATATTGATAGATATAATAATATACCTATTATCTTAATTAATTATGTAGCTTCAAAGACATCCTTACATGTATAACAGGTGATATAAATACCTGTATTATTTATTTTCCTTAATAAAATCGACAGCTAAAATCAGCAATTAGATGGTAAATGTGTGCACTAGAGAGGACAGTTTATAGTTATATAAATGTGGGTGGCGGGCGCACCCCTGCTTTGTTTTTCATTAGAATCTGCTTTCATCCCGTCACAGCCACTTGCCAATTTGACTGTGTTAATTTCTAAACAGTTTTGTACAAAATTAGTTATGTTTGATATTTTCTTTTATTTTCAGTTATTTTTGTAGTAGTTTTATTTTTAAAGTTTTTTCATTTCATTTTTTATTTCGTAATTTAAAAAAAAAAAAATTTTTTATGGATTTTAAAGTATTGACTAATATCTCGTAAGTAAAGTTAAAAATAGTGAAAAATAAATATTCCACGAGTTCTCATATTTTTATTACATACTAGTGATTATATTTTTATGTTTAGAATAGATTTATCAGAGATACTTTCCCGCGATGAAAAGTATTCTATATGTTGATCCGGACAACATAATCATAAATCATTCATCATTATAGCAAATTTCATTAAAATTCCTCTAGTGATTTTTCCGTGATGCGGTCACAGACAGACAATTTGAATAAAATCTATAGATTCAGCTTCTGTATCGATAATAATTTTCCAAAAAAATGCTGAATGTACAGATTCGGCTTAGTTTATTATATGCATAGGCTACGGAAAATTGGTCTTCTTCAATGTATATAAGTATTTTCTTCTACATTATAATAGAGTATAGACTCTATGACGTACTTTGATCTTGTCAAATGACCGACAAACCATCTGTTCTAATCACTTTTCATATAATCAACTTCCTTCAAAAAATATCAAAATGTACTTTAAAATAGTTTCTCAAGTATTTATAAAATTGAACACATCCTCCACAAGTAATGGCGGAAATATCAAGAATTTTCGAAATTAAAAATAAGTTTAGCAAAAACACAAAAATTATAAAAAATCACTTCATCTGCTAAAATTCTTAGCAAAATTTTTGGAGTATATTTAAATAGATACAAAAACAGTATAAACAATGTATACTGATGAAACTGTTCAACATTGTAAATTAACCAATCTATATATTAATAGTAAAGAAAACATTCATAAATCCATGAGTAAACCAGATTGGAAAGAATCAAATACAAATTCTTCTAAAAAACAACGATCTAATGAAAATGGTGAAATAGGTGAGTGACTTTATTACTTACTAGCGACTTAAGCTCGCCTCACTGCCCTGGTTTCTTTTGTATTTATAATCTATACTAATATTATAAAGAGGCAGAGTTTGTTTGTTTATTTGTTTGAACACACTAATCTCAGCAACTACTAATGCGATTTGAAAAATTCTTTTCCAATTAGATAACCCGTTTATTGAGAAAGGCTATACATATATCAACAAATCGTAATGTCAAGAAATTGGACAGAATTCTATATATTATTGTAAAGGAAAGCGAAAGAAGAGTTTTTTTTGTCCTTTGAATGCGGGCAAAGCCACGGGTTCTGTTAGTATTATATACAGACGATGATACCTTTTGGCACATTTTATCTCTTACAGTACCCTATGTGATATATCTATCGCTGTAAATATGACCAGTCGCTTCAGCGTGAAGCAGTAACAAACAAATAGTAAACAAAATTTCGCATTGTATTTAAAATAGTATCGTATTTAATTTATTTTTCTTTCTTTCTTTACTTTTAGATGATAAAATTAACCGAAATGAACATATGGACTGGAATGATTATCACCGCTTGAATGTAATTCACTCATTTTTGGATGAACTAGAATACAACTATCCATCCTTATGCACCGTGGGAGTTATTGGGTCTTCTATAGAAGGCAGAAAGTTAAAGGTTATTTTTATATAGTATTTACTCGTACTCATATTGTTTCATTACTCTTTGTCAATATAAAAGATAGTATAATCTCAATTTTCTGTTACGATGCAGGCTTCTAATAATTTTCCTTGTTACTTAGTGACTTTTAATATCTAATAATTTACTGACTTGAAAAAGCAACAAGACTCAACTTCAGCTGTAATTTTTATTGTTTTAGTGTTATGCAATGTCTTTACAATTGTAAGCCGATCTTCATAATATTTTTTAATGAATAGCCTCAATATAAAAAATATATAAAAGAGACCAACTTTGAAATGGTGGCGGTGCTTATTTCAGCGGTATTTTTTATTATTTTTGTATGTGTATTTTATATGACGTGATTAGTAGGATACTAATAGATAAAAACGCAAAAACATAAAGATGTATGGATGCTTATCACTCTTTCACGCAAAAAACTACTGAACCGGAGAAGATTTCATGAAAATTTGCATTATAACACATATATATACTATAATTATAGTAATACATTAAACAAAATCATTTCTAAGTCTTATTAATAAAAATGTATGGCTAAATGTGTTAATAAGCGCGCGCATAACTCGAGAACAGCTGGACCAATTCGAGTAATTCTTTTTTTTAAATATTCGTTGAAGTCCGAGGAAGGTTCTTATGAAGAGAAAAATTGGAAAAAATGCCCGGAAAAAACAAAAAAAGACATATTTTTTCTAATCGGGCCTGCTACACACTTGATTTGACAGAACGAGGTCTGTCGGGTCAGCCAGTATGAAATAATTACTTTTATATGATTATAAAGTAAGTTATTATTTGTTACCATGAACGAATTTCTAATTCGTTCATGTTTGTTACATATACAACGTGTAGGTTCTCAAGGTTTCGAACAGTAATGCGAGCAACTCCGCAGTATGGATAGACGCGGGTATCCACGCGCGAGAATGGATCGCTCCCGCCGTAGCCACGTACATACTTGACCATATTGTACGGAACTTCGACTCATTGCCAAACAGTATCACTAACAAGGACTGGTATTGTGTTTCCTTGCTAAATTTAAATCTTGTTATCTAATTCTCTACCAATTATTACATGACTTTACCTAGAATAAAAGGGCCAGCAAATAAACACACTTTACTATTTTTCTTCTTCTTCGTGACACTCTTGATAGAGCGGTCGTGGTCATCTACTATACTATTTTTATGCAAACTAAATTTCAGTGTAGCTTTAGTACTTGTTTGTTTCTAGAAATTACTTATAAGAACTCACTGTTTATTATAATTTGATTATTTTACGAATTGTGCCGTAGAAATGCGTATATCTAAGGTAATTTTTGTTACACTGGAGAAAAAATCAAAGGCTAGACCTACATTAGTGTACAGATTGGTATATTAATTGTAATAGTTTGTTTTAGCCTAATTAGTAAAAAAATCGACAGAAAAGAATAATTTAATTTATGAAAGTGACACTGGGTTATCTGTATCCTATCCATCCATATAAATACTGAAAAATATACATACTCGTATATTATATCGCAATTTACGTATTTGCTTAAAATAAAGCCTCTCATCATGCTTGCATAACATAAAACAAACCTAATTATATTTAAAATAATTAATTTTCGCATCTCTACTATTTACAAACGCACACTTTTTAATTCATTTCAATTATTCTGATAAGTAGAGCTTATGTAATAATAATCTGTTCGTGTAATTACAATATTTCAACTCGCAGGTATTTCCATCCGGTCGTTAATCCGGACGGCTATGAATATTCACATACTGTTGACCGTATGTGGCGCAAAAATAGAGCCTGGTATAGAGGGCAGTGCGTTGGAGTGGACTTGAACAGAAACTTTAGGTATATCATGAACGATTATGAAATAATAATCTGCCTGTCATTAATTATTTAATGCCTACTAAATTAACCTTAAAAAAAATATATTTTAAATAAAAGAATTTATTCGGATTTTTTCGCAAGTTAACGTAGATTTTTTGATCGCGACGTTTCGACTAAGGTTATTGTATAGCATTCGATACTTCAGGAACAAAACTCACAATAAAGTGGCAAAAAATCTATAAATGAGAAATATTCGCGTAACTCTAAGCAAGTATTGAATACCTATGTATATCTAGAGAATCATACCGTTTCACAGTTTTAATGGGCTTCTATTACGTGTTTCCATACACAAGTCACAGCTAAATCTATTATTAAAGTATCATTTAATTCATTTTTGATTAATTTTATTATTAATTTATTTAACAAGCATTTTTAATTCTGTAACGAGTGTTAGATAGCTCGAAATTAAATTAAGTTAAAATTCTCTTTTTGACTTTCTTAAGAGTGTAAGATAATTAAATAATTCTATATAAAGTTAGTTGTAAAACAAAATATTCTGATAAAACATTTTTAATACTATTTTTTCTTTCTAGCTATGGGTGGGGAGGCAAAGGATCATCGGACAACCCAGTAAATGCTTTCTACAGAGGTCCCAAAGCGTTTTCAGAGCCTGAATCATGCGCTATGAGGGTAAACTTACTATTTAATATGTATATGCATATAAAACAAGATCTCGATCTCAGCTGTGATCAAAGTAAATACTACGTCAACGGTTACGAGACAAATTCCCGGTCACGGCAAAAATGTGTAATATCTTACGGTGTAATCGAGGTCTTGAATTTTGACGAGCAAATTTTGTAGAAACTTCTCATATAAAAATACCTAACATCCTATATAGCGGTTCATATATCTACCTTAATTAAAATCACATAAATAATACACTATAATATTCAAATAACAGATACCACGGCTACAAGTTGAAATAAAACGTTGGCGAAACTTTACAAAGCCTAGAACGAGCCACTAATTACCCAACAAAATGTCAGAAAAAGGTTGCCTTAATGCTCAAGGATAATTCTGAATAATTATATCATTAGTAGCACCGAGAGGAATTTAACAAAGGAATGCATTAAATCCATTATATTAATACTACCTGTAATGTAAATCCTGCGTCATTTAGCTGTAATGTGCCGTTGATACCAAAATCGTGTCATCGGCGCTGGACGCAGAGATTAAACTGCAAACAGGTTTTAGTCGTAAATCAATTTCACTGCAACGGTTTTATATCATTCTGTTGCATTTAATTAATGTACCAACTTACAATTGCGCGCATTTTACTATCTACGTTTTACTCATTATAACTGCGAGTGCCGTATCCTGTAATTTGTACGAGCGACAAAGTGCCAAATAATAAATATGCGCAGTAATCAAATTTAAATTACTGTTTCAAAGAAAACACATGAAATTGTTACGGTAAAATAAAAATATATTTATTTACATGAAAAGCTTCCATTTTAGAATACTGAAGTTACCATGTTAGAGCAAATAGGTTGACTTGTGAATTTTAACGGCTAAACAAACATAAATCATTTTTGACATTTACCGTTCCATGGTAAGCTACTAGGTTTGTGTTATGAATACCAGATAGTTATACACTACACATATATAACTTTAAATACTTCCATATTATAAATATAAACACCATAAATATAAACACCCATGACTGAAGTACAAACATTCGTGCTCATCGCACAAGTGAATGTCCCTAGCGGGTCTCGAACCCGCGACCGCTGGCACAGCAAGTGGGGTCACTAAAAACTGAGCCAAATGTGTCGTCGAATTTATTATTTATTCGAATTAGGGAAGAAATTGTGTCAATTATTTTTTGCTTTTCTATCAAATTAAAAGTTGTACGTTTTTTTAAATATATGCGTATAACTTTCATCCCCATTTTCACCCGCTTAAGGGGCGATTTCCGGGATAAAAATATCCTATGTTCTTCCCAGGACCTCAAACTATATTACCAAATTTCATCTAAATCGGTTCAGTAGTTTCTAGGTTTATTCGATACAAACAAATAAACTAACAAATCTTTCCTCTTTATAATATTAGTATAGATTAAAACTACTGAGTCTTATGTACCTATATCTTTAGGTACTAAATATATTACTAGAGTTTTACATAATGTGTTTCTATTTTTCAAGTACAGAAAAGAATAATTTTTTAACTTCGATATAATTTCAAATAACATCATTAATGATGTCATTAGAAATTGTATCAATTAATTAATTACATATTAAATATTTAATGTTTTGCTTTATTTGTGCGAAGATATTTTCATTCTTTATCTTGTCTATATATATAAAAGGCAAAAGTGGTTGACTATCAACGCACACGCCAAATCCTTAGGGCTAGAAACTTAAAATTTCGCACACGTGTTCCACTTATGACGTAGACATCAACTAACGAAAGATTTTTTTAAATCAACCCCCAAGAGGGTTAGATAGGGGATGAAAGTTTTTAATAAAACCTACCATTTTAGAGTTTTTTTTGTAGTTTTGGCGCAAGCAAAGCCGCAGGTTCTGTTTGTATTATATTAATTAAAACAGACAGTAAAGGGTAGAAGTGTGAAAGTAATTTAATATAAATGTCATTTTCAGGATATTCTCGTTTCCAGTATCCCATTCAAAGTGTACATCACGCTGCACAGCTACGGCCAAGTCATTTTATTTCCTTACGCCTACAGGGATGAACTATGTCCTGATTATGTGCGGTTACTTGAAGGTGCAACGATTATGTCTAAGGTTAAAAAAAATATATATAATTCGCATATTTTTTGAAAGATAATCATGAATTCGATTCTCGTGTAGATATAATGTCGTACCTATATTTATATTTGCCATATAATATACAATATTTTACTATATTTTGCTCTTTTTAGAGTTTCATTCTTTAAGGGTTTTAGTAACTACGTCTTTCCATCCATCCGTCTTTAAAGTTTTATAAGGTTATCTTTTAAACCATGATAGGTAGCCGGTTGAAATTTTCCATGCAACTACAGGTATATTAAATAAAACAATAAATAAAATAAATAGTGAGTCAGGTTCCCAATGTAGCAGTTTTAACAGCTTAATATTTTTGGTAATTTCATTACACATATATTATATTGTGTAATGGTACGGAACCTTTGGTGGACTTGCACTTGACCAATTTTGCTATGTACTAGCATTGCCCGCGGCTCCGCCCGCATTCAGATGACCAAAAACCAAATAAAATAAAGCTATTGTTATATTTTTTTTAAGATAAGCCATTTTTAATAGTTTTTGCCTTATTTAGTAACTTACCTTGCTAAAATATACACAGTATCATCGTGGTTTTATTCTAACCAGTTTTTGTATTTTTTTCTCTGAAAGAAATAAATAAATATTCTAATGACAAAAATTCTAAAAACTATAGATTCGGCCTCTGTATCGATAATAATATCTATTTCAATAAGATTTTCCAAAAAAATATTTAATGTACAAATTCGACTTAGAATTTTGTTATATGTATAGATTTTTGTAGTATATGACATACTGATATCATAATAAGCAAATAAATAAATAATATTTATATTTTCACCTAATCGCATTATATTACAATATTACCCATTAGTATATATTATATATAGAATTATAATTATAGCATTACTCTCACTAATGACTTTAATACTTAGGCTATTCATGAAACCAGTGGCAATACTTACAAAGTAGGAATTTCAAGGGACGTAATGTATGGAGCCGCTGGTACAAGCAACGATTTTAGCCACGGCCAAGTTGGAATACCTTTCTGTTATCTTATAGAGTTGAGAAGTAAAAAACACAAATTTAAACTACCCAAAGAAGAGATAGAAAAAACTGGTGCTGAAATATTGAATTGTGTGAAAGCACTTATGGAATTTGTGGATAAGAGTGCAAAAGCTGAAAAAATTTAAAGTAAGATTATATGTCACAGTATCATATCGTAATGTAGTGTCAAGTTAAATATACATATATGTGACAGACATCCATACTAATATTATAAATGTGAAAGTGTGTTTGTTTGTTTGTCCTTCTTTCACGTCAAAACGGAGTGCCGGATTTGCGTGATTTTTTGTGTGGAGATAGTTGGAGGGCTAGAGAGTGACAAAGGCTACTTTTTATCGCGGGGGATAATCTCATTTCCACGGGAAGACACGTTATAGTGCAACCCAAAAATTATTTATGATTAGAATTACTTGAAACTTGGTATTAATGTTCCTCAATACAATTTAATAAATACGTGTTTTAGCATTTTTTGAAATTCATCCCATAAGGGGGTAAAATAGGGTATGAATGTTTGATACCCAATTAAATACCTAAGACATTCTCACCAATGTATTCTTCTTTTCCATACATAAACGTCGCAGCACATATTTTACTCATATAATAGGTAACTTCATAAGCCAGTAAAGAGAATTTACTCAGTTTAAATTTTTTACTATTTACAAACATGTCAATGTCTTAACGTAGTATTTAATCAATTTTCTATTATTACAAGTCAAAATTCGTCGTGTATTTATAAAATTTTACTATAAAATTTAAAAACTTTTGGACATTTATCATTAATCTACCAAAGTGGCACCCATAAATCCAAAATCCCAGGTATGGGAAATAAGATTTGCTAATGAAGAACAAAGATATTTTGTTAAATCGTTGGATACTGCGGGGGGTATGTTGATAGTAAAGGCATATAAAAACAATGAACTGACCCTTTTTATTGTCAAAAGATGAGCACAGTCCTCAGTGTAAGGGGGGATAAACCATAATTACTGGAGACTTTCGAAAATGTTCGATTCTGTAGTCATCTTATTCCAGGCATTCCGAGATAAAAAAAAACTTATGTGCTTTTCCAGACTATAATCTATCTCTGTGCCAAATTTCATCTAGATCTCTTCAGCCGTTCTGGCGTTAAAGAGTAACAAACGTCCATCCATTCATCCTCACAAACTTACACATTTATAATATTAGTATGGATTCTAAAATTTCAATACTACCTAATACATCATCATCAATCATGGCTTTATCCAGACTATTTTCTTTCCGAAAAATCCCAATAATATAATAATAAAATATATCTTCTCGAAGAAAATAAGAGACAGAAATGTCGAAAATCTGTTTTGTCTTCTCTCCCAATAAAATCTACGAAAAATATTCAACGATCACATTTACAATTGTATTTCAGCGAACAGATATAAATATGGAGAATAGTTGATAATACCAATAAAAAATCATCTGATAATTAAATACAGTTAACTAGTAAATAAATACATTAAAAAAATACATATATTTGCAAATATTTTAATTATAAAAAAGTGTTTAACATTTAATACGTACATTCATAAGTTAAACATTTTAACGGTTAGTGTGGAATAGAATATATACATAGGTACCAAATAAATAGTTCTAATCTTTTCGGATTTCCGGCTGTTATTTGGGGTTAAACTATCCTTGATACACCAATAAAACACAAAAAAAGAATTATTAAAACCGGTCCAGCCGTTTTTGAGTTTTAGCGAGACTAACGAACGACAATTGATTTTTATATATATTAGATGTTACTTCTTATTTATTTAATAGTATTAATTAAACTTTAGTTACTTTAATTATTTTACGACAGCAATCAATATATGGAAAGAAGAGCGTAGCACTATGGATATTATGGTGGAAGGCCCCAGGTCCTCCCAAGTGGCTGGCATGTTACTTGAAAGGGAAATACCGTATGCCGTAGCTATAGGAGACTTAGGTGTCATGCTTGAGAAGGAGCAAGGAAATGCATTTAAGAAATCGATATCTAACAATGGAACAGGTTAGAAATAACTTGATATATGTAATACTTAAAAGTTTTATCCCAAATAGTCTGAGCTAAATCTATTTAGCCCTGACTTGATAAGCAATTCTCAATGTTATTTGACTTCTGTTATGTCATAAAACAATTTCTGTTATGTCATCAAACATAAATGATATAAAACAATTTTTTGAAATATATTCAGTGTACAGAGCTAACCCACTTACAACTTTATGCGACCCTGGTTCTTGCTTCGAATACCTTAATACGCTCTGCGTCCCCCTTTTTTCTAATAGATACTTCTCATATTTTAAATATTGGCTCTGTTTAAATTCCTATTTAAACAGGTTACCAAATCTATACATATAATAAAATTCTAATTGAGCCGAATCTGTACATTAAATATTTTTTGGAAAATCTTATTAAAATAGACATTATTATCGATACAGAGGCCGAATCTATAGTTTTTAGAATTTTCGTCTGTCTGTCTGTCTGTTACCGCATCACAGAAAAACTACTGGAGGGATTTTGATGAAATTTGGTATGGTGATAGCTGATTATCCGGGTCAATATATAGGATACTTTTTACCGCGGAAAAATATCTCATTTCTGAGAAAAAATGCAAAAACTGCAATGTAAGAGTATACTAATATGTAAAACCTAAGAATTTGCTTTTTGGAGCCGCGGGCAATGCTAATTGTGTATAATAGAAAGTAATAAATAAAATTTTCATTATTATTAAGCTTGTCGCTCTAAAATAAATTCATTACAAGTTTTTAAAATGCTTTATGTCATTATTTTATTTTTTGCCTTGTACAGGTATCATTTTGTATATTTGATTTAATAAATATGACACAACAACTTAGTAACAAGTATACGATCAATTCTGCTGACTAAATTAGAGTTCTTTACCACTATTCTTCTTCATGCACGGCTTTTTACGCACTTAGGCTATTTTTGCCCTTTATGCGTGAGATTGTACAAATGTATGCAGTATGCATCTATTATTGACTATTTTCTCTTTTTTCGTTTCTCTTCACCATTGTAATATTAGCGCAGTAATGTCTGTGACATACGAAAATAATATATATTTTATACTACTATATAATAAACTAGTTGAACCAGTAGCTTCGCTCGCGCTAAAACTACAAAAAAATCTCTAAAAAGGTAGGTTACCTATATAGGTAGGTATCATACAAACTTTCATCCCCTATTTCACCTACTTGTAAGATGATTTTCGAAAAATGCTTAAACACGTATTTATTTATTTGTTGTATTGAAGAGTATTAAAACCAATTTTCAAGTAATTATGATTAGAAATATTTTTTTTGGATTGTATTATAACGTGTTTTTCCATGGGAGTAAAATGATGTCTCGCGATAAAGAGTAGCCTATGTCACTCTCCAGCTCCCCAACTATCTTTACACCAAAAATCACGCCAATCCGTCTTTCCGTTTCGACGTGAAAGAAAGACAAACAAACAAACAAGCAAATAAACAAACACGCTTTAACATTGATAATATAAGTATGGATTTCAACACAAAAATACGTATAACATTATCAATTCCTAGAGCCAATCACTTAATCAAATATCGCTTAAATGGGTTGCAATCAACTAATTGTTAGCAAATTGATACTTATATTTCATAATGATCAAAGCCCAACAATCACGTAATGATTCAATTGAAAACGAATATATACGAAGTTTTAATATTTTCAATATCATTTTTGTGCGTGTGTGTCGAAAGGTACGATGGATTGGAAAAGCTATCATCGTCTCGAAGTTATTTACGCTTTTATGGACGACTTGGCGTCACAGTATCCGTATTTATGCACAGTGAGTGTTATTGGCAAGTCAGTCGAAGGAAGAGATTTACGGGTTGGTAATTATTTTATTTATCGTCATCTTAATGTTTATTTGTTCAAACTAGCAATAATTGTGGTGCTTTACAGAAAAGTTTTTTTTTCTTCTATTTTAAAAACAAAGCTTTGTTTCCAAGATTTATGTATATATATATATATATATATATATATATATATATATATATTATATATATATATATAATTCTTCTGTGAGTGTGTATGTCACTGAACTTCTCTCAAACGACTGGACCGATTTTGATGAAATTTTTTTTTGTGTGTTCAAGGGGATCTGAGAATGGTTTAGATTCACAATTTGAATAATAATTTTCATCAAAATGGTCCAGAATGTTTTAGCTTATTAAAAAAAGTTTGAAATTTTCAAATTAAAGACGTGACGGGTCAGCTAGTATATATATATATATATATATATATATATATATATATATATATATACACGTATAATATATTATTAGGTTTCTTAAAATTAAAATATCTATTTTACACATATAAATTGACATTTATGATTTAAAAGTCAATAATTCTGTATTAAGAACTCTTTCGGTAAATTGGTCATTTGGACAAATAAGCACTGAGACGACATTATGTTAGAATACCTAATTATGTGCTACTGTAGCATTCTTAGTTATATTATCCATACTAATATTATAAATGTGAAAGTGTGTTTGTTTGTTTGTCTTTCTTTCATATCAGAACGGCTTGGCGGATTGGCGTGATTTTTTGTGTGGAGATAGTTTAGAGTTTTTATTACCGCAGGAGATTATCTCTTTCCCACGGGAATGCCCGTTATAATACAATAAAAAAAATTATTTATGACCACAATCACTTGAAACTTGGTATAGATGCTTTTCAATATAATTAATTAAATACGTGTTTTAGCATTTTTCGAAATTCATTCTATAAGAGGGGTTAAATAGGCGATAAAAGTTTGTATGAAACTACCTATTTAGAGATTTTTTTGCAGTTTTATTGCGAGCGAAGCCGTGGGTTCTGCTAGTTTCATGTATACTCGTATGCTATTAGCCTGACCTGCTTTCGCCTTTGCTTAGACTTTGTAAGTTTTAGATCGACTTCTAATTCTACTGTATTTTTAGTGGGATATTATAAAATATCTTCGCTAATAATTTGTGGATCGATTTAGATATTTTTTACTTCAAACTATTTAAAGTTAATCGTAACATAGCGCGTCAACGTAACAGGAACAAAAATGATAATATGTTCGACCTTCGAATCGTTACCAAAAGTAATCTTAGTTATAGTGTATTTTAGAAATAAGTATAAAAATCCATTTCTCTTTGTTATTATAATAAAAACATAAATTAAAGAAAATAATCTAATAATAACTAACATGCTAATCAGAATATCTAATACTTTTTTTGGAAACCTTTGCTCTAAACGTGTTTCACGGACCAACTACAAAGAATACAACTTATATAATAATAATGATGATGATGATGTTCTCCCGACCGATTCCGGCCACGGCGGCCAATCTCACTGAGACTAGCCATCTATCTGCACAGGAGATATTATAGTGCGCAAGTGTACGCGCAGACGCAAGTGCACTCTCTATTCCTGTTACTCTCAAATTCCGATGACATTCAGATCAGGCGCAGGACTGACGGCTTTACATGCTCTCCGAGACAGTGAGGTGGAAACGTCCAACTGCAACATTGTAACTCCGAGCTGTTACTGGGGCTTTCTTAACATACCCAGGACTCGAACCAAGGACCTCCAGATGTGTAGCCGCACAGAACACCACCGAGACAGTTAATATTAATACTAAATATATAATTATATGACATACTGTTTTCAATAAACTAGCTCTTGAAAATATCAAATGGAAACAGCGGTAACTCAGGTGTATGGGTGGACGCGTCCATCCATCCCCGAGAATGGATCAGCACAGCAGTCGTCACGTACTTGGCCAATCAGCTCGTCAGGACCTACCATGAGCAGCCTGATAGCGTCACTAACAAGGATTGGTAAGATGGCCTGTTAAAACTCACGATTACCTACTTCTTCACTAAAATGAAAAAAATGGATATTAAAAATGTATACGGACTTAAAATAACTTTAAAGTTGTATTAACATTTAACGTTATATTTTACTATTATTATTATATTATAATTTGCTATACATATAATAAAATTCTGAGTCGAATCTGTACATTACATTTTTTTGCAAAATCTTATTGAAATAGTCATTATTATCGATAGAGGCCGAATCTGTAGTTTTTAGAATTTTTGTCTTTCTGTCTGGGAACGCATCACGAAAAAACCACTCGACATATTTTGATGAAATTATAGTATGATGATAGCTGCTTATCCGAGTCAATACAGGATACTTTTTACTGCGGGAAAATATCTCACCTCTGAGAAATCTATTATCGCTAGTAACCTTATAAAATCGAAGATAGGTATTGTATTCATTCATGAATCAATATAATCAAAGTTTATTAAATTGAAATATCTATTTATATAATTAGATATTTAGCATTTCTCTCTCATCACTACTGAAGAAGAAAAAAAATGTAAACTAATATTTTCTCTAAGTACTAAATAGGAATCTTATCTAAGTAAATTATTAAATATATCTCTCATCAGGTACATACTTCCAGTGTTGAACCCAGACGGCTACGAGTACACGCACACACATGACCGCATGTGGCGGAAAAATAGAGCGCGCTATGGCGAGTGCGTCGGGGTCGACCTCAATAGGAATTTTAGGTTTGAAATCTTTATACTTTTATTTTCACATATTTTTAACTTCTTTGCTATTTTTCTTTATGCCTAGTATTACTTTGTGATGGTATAAACTATAATGTATCTGTATATAATATGAGTAAAATACGTCTTTTAACAACTATAAATCTGATGTTCCTACTTTAGTTCCTACTATAATGTGGAACTAAAAATGAATACTTCTCATAAATATATAAAATAAAATCTTATAACAATTTTCAATCATACGTAACTCATGATTTTTGACATTTAACAATGTAGAATTATTTAAATTATTGTAAAATTGTAAAGTATTAAAGTATTGTTTCTTAATATTACACATAAATAAATAGGTATATACATACAATTTCAAACAAATTGTAAATTTTAGCTACGGCTGGGGTGAAAAAGGCGAGGAAGGCTCATCAGAGGACCCGGGAAACATATTTTTCAGAGGTTCTAAACCTTTTTCTGAACCAGAGACAGAAGCTGTAAAAGTAAGATTTATGTGAAAAATTACGCAAATTTTACTTGATTTAATTAAAAATTGTAGATGCCTTTACGACCTATATAAAATCTAGCTAGTTCAATAAAATTTTGGACGGTCTTTATCCATTAAAATAAAATTTTCTGATTTAATTTAGACAATACATATAGGTATCTAAATATCTTGAAAACCTTTGCATATTTTAATTTACATATAGACAAATAGAGAAATTTAAAAATAGTTTACAATTAGATATCATATTATACACTATATTACATGTAAAATTTTCTCTTCACTTTCATTTACAATTTAAATTTATTCCACAGTAGCCACTTGGTGTACCGGTAGCAAAAAGTAGCTACTATTTCACGTAAAAATAACGTAAGATATTCGTAAAAGGGTTTTCAAAATCGAATCAGCCCTATACCTTATTATACTGCTATACCTTATTATACTGCTATACCTTATTATACTGCTATACCTTATTATACTGCTATACCTTATTATACTGCTAGTGTAAATGTAAGAACTGTTTTTCATATTTAATTAAAATAAAAATAATTACTATTTTACAGCGTGCCATACTGGAATCAGAGACAAATTTCAAAGTGTTTCTATCGTTTCATAGTTACGGTGAAGTTATAATATTCCCTTGGGGGTATACAGCTGACCCATGTCCAGATTATGTCGAACTATTGGAGGGAGGGACTGCTATGGCAAAGGTATGTATTTAATGTAACAATATCTTTTACAATAATTATCTATTGCATTTCCTGTATACATTGAGAAAATGGCGGTATCCAATCCGGACGTTTCGTTAATTTCATTTAGGTATTTTATCAATTGCAACATACATATGTATATACAGATCCTACTTATTTTTGCAACGAAGTAAGAGAAATATTTAGACATCAAAAATAATGAGAATTGAGTGTTTTAATATTACAAATAATTACAAAATCTAAGTACTTGAAACAAATGCCACATATTTCTTTCACAGGCCATACACGATACTAGTGGACATACTTACAAAGTAGGCAGTACAAAAGACCTTATGTACTACGCAGCAGGAAACAGTACAGACTGGAGTTACGGCGTCGCCAGCATACCCTACTCGTACATGATAGAGCTTAGAGGAAAAACCCATAGATTTCTACTGCCTAAAGAAGAAATAATATCGACAGCAAAAGAAGTTACGAGTGGAGTATTACGGCTTATGGATTTCGTTGATAGAAGATGCCGGAGTACGCAGTCGTGTGTCTGCCCTAAATTATGATAGTGATTAAAAATAATACATATTGTCTAGAATTTATACAAAATTGTAAAATTTTTAGTAAATTGTTTTGATTTTATTTGTTTTTTTATTATCATTATAGGTACTTTACTATAATCTAAATATCGTTCCGAATTGTCATATCACAATAATTTGTAATGTAAATAGTGCTTTAATATACTATTTTAATTTATATTAAATTAATGAAAACGCTCGAATAGCAATAAAAATATGCATCGTATATTTTGTTCATTATGAACGTAAAGGCCATACGTTTCGCTGCGGTTACGAATAATATGGATGCAATCCAAAAATGTATCCTCACACCGCGCCATCAAACGAGCTCCAATACGCTGGTTTATTGTTTCACATCACTGGTTGCCAAAAGTTTAATTTCGATAATATTTATTTAACGTATTCCCACATCAATATAACATTTTAAAATTAATAACAAAACTATTAAAAATTTTGAATAACTTTATTTACAGACCTTCATTATAATACAATCAACAATAATGTAAACATTACAATTTGAAATTCACATTCATTTATCTAACGTAAAAACACCTATCGACAATAATTATCACTATTACCGAATTAGTATCCAACTTTGTTCTAAGGAACACTACATCAAAATTCTCACCGGACGGTAATCCAACACTGTACACTCTTGCGTTCCTTAACTTTTGAGTTCCTTAACTCCCTAGCTTTTTACCTTCTTAGTTTTATCCTTATATTAGATCCCAATATTTAATACGGGCGCCATACATCAACCGGTCTTCGTTCCGAAGTTATCAAGGATTTGCTGCGAGTTCTCATTCCTTGATCTGCCCATTCTGGTGAAGCGGGCCGTTTCTTCGTCGAACTGGAAGCTGTTGAACCAGCTTCTTCTCTATCTCTATCGGGACTAGAGCTTGAGTCTTCTTGAGGAGGTGGCGGTCTGAGCCACCAGTCATATCCCCCATACAATTGGGAGTAAAGCCAGGCAGGTGGTGTAGGTAAAAGAGGAGAATTGAGAAAGAGTTGAGCCGCTAAAGCACTGTGGAAAAGACTCGAAGGCGCTGGAAGCGGCTGTAAAGGTTTCCTAGTCCTAGTAACTGAGGTGAAAGCGCCTGGACGATCGTCAGGAGGCGGACTGCTTGAAGCGGTCACCGATATATCGTCATCATCTTGTGGCGAACTTGGCCTCGAGTTAACTGGGCTCGTCGTGCTATGAGGGTGCATTGTTGTTTGGTTATCCGATGTTAAATCTGGAACAATTAAAATTGTACTTTAGAATTTTTTGCTTCTCTACACACTGCGCATATATTATGTTCTCATATATGTGTTAGGTTTTTTAATGGCCACAATGCTTAGAGGGGAAATGTTGTAAGAACCGCATTAAGAGACTTTCTCACTGCGACCTCTATTAAATTCACCACAATGTGGAGTTTGTGTTTTTTAAAGATCTCTAAACATGAATATGATGTACAAAAATTAAAGTCATTACTATATTTTGTTAATATTTTTTCTAACACCATCATTTTATGAAATTACTACTATTCGATATTACAAATCTAAAGTTTTTACATATTTTTTTTCAAACAATCTATCGACGAGACCACTTTTCATTCGCCATCTACATATTTATAAGATCTGAACTAATGTGTTAATAAAATAACATTAAAACACAGCTATCATCCCCCAAATACGTGTAATTGTTGATAAAGGATTTTTATGAGGCTCTTTTGTGTTAATACAATATATTTTACAAGTGTGCCAAGTTTAATGAAAATCTGCTTAGACATTTTTACATAATTAATTAAAAAACATACAAACACACAAACTTTCACATTTATAATACCAGTACGATAGTTATAATATATTAATAGATATATTACTATATGACAATATTCTCTATAAATATACCAGTTTCGTGCGTCGGCGGTGGTACGGTGTGATGCTGCGCATGTGCCGGCGGCAGCACGTGCGGCGTGAAATGCGCGTGTGAGGGCAGTAACGGCGGCGGGTAGTGACGCGCGAGCGCGCCCCACTCGCCGCCCGGCAGCCCTGCTAATTGATGGGCTATACCTGAAACAATATAATCATATGATACTTTGTTTTCGTTATTATATTATACTAGCAGAACCCGCGGCTTCGCTTGCACTAAAACTATTAAAAAAATCTCTACAAAGGTAGGTTTTATACAAACTTTCATCCCCTATTATCCCATAGGGAAGTCCCTATAGGATAAATTTCAAAAAAGTGCTAAAACACGTATTTATTTAATTGTATTTAAGAGCATTAATACTAAGTTTCAAGTAATTCAGATCATAAATATTTTTTGGGTTGTATTATAACGTGTTTTCGCGTAAAAATGAGATAACCTTCCGCTGTAAAAAGTATCCTAAAAAACCTAAAAAGCCTATGTCACTCTCCAGCCCTCCAACTAACACCACACAAAAATCACGCCAATTCGTCACTCTGTTGAAACAGAGAACGTTGAAACGTGAAAGAAAGACAAACAAACAAACAAACAAACAAACAAACAAACACATTTTAACATTTATAATATTAGTATGGATGTAATATTATATGTAACTTTTCGCTATTTCACTAACAACTTTTAAACGGAAAATTATTTTATTTCCACGGAAAAACACGTTATTGTACAACCCACAAAAACTCATCATATAATATATAGTCTATTCCATAGTAACAGTTAAAGCGTACTTAAGGACGAACCCGAGCGAAGCCAGGGTGAGCCGCTAGTGTTAAATAAAAATAAAATACGTATTTGAATAACTAATCTATAAATAATAATTTTTATAATGAAACCGTTTGTACGCTAGCCTTTTTATAAGTATTTCTAAATGGTGTGTCATCAGTCATCAGTTATCACTAAATATTACATAATGTACCTAATAAATTAAGAATAATTAGACAAGAGCTTACTTTGTATATATTAACTAGCATTGCCCGCGGCTCCGCCCGCGTTCAGCTGACCAAAAAACAAATTCTTAGGTTTTACATATTAGTATACTCTTACATTGCAGCTTTTGTATTTTTTCTCAGAATTGAGATATTTTCCCGCAATAAAAAGTATCCTATATGTTGACCAGGATAATCAGCTATCATCATACCAAATTTCATCAAAATCCCTCCAGTGGTTTTTCCGTGATGCGGTAACAGACAGACAGACAAAAATTCTAAAAACTACAGATTCAGCCTCTGTATCGATAATAATGTCTATTTCAATAAGATTTTCCAAAAAATATTTAATGTACAAAGTTTTTATACTTTTTTACGTGAAAAATATTAAAAAAAAAAACATTATTTTATCAACTGCGCCTCCATATTAAAATTATCTATAGATATTTTCTCATCAGCAATATTTATTGTTACGTAAATTAGTTATGTTACATAGAAATATCCAATGAACTATGGAAGATATTACTTTAAAAAAACTATCCAAATAATTATAAGTTATTATTAGCTATTTGACGTACTCGTCAGAAAATTCAAATAATGAGTCTCCCTCAAAGCACTCCAATCCGCGCCTTATCTCCGCCGCGGCACTCCTCAATTGTTACCACCTTAATTGATATCGGGTTCAAAATGTTGGGAAGCATCTGAATCGTAAGCGCTTTAAAGAAAAATAATTACTTGTATTTCAATTAAATATTCAGTGTTACTTTGTAATATAATACGAATTTAATGAAATCTTAATAAGTTTGTTGATTGCTTTGTTAATTTTGATAAGTATTTTCTGTTGTAGCACTAAATAATATGCTCGCTTACTTGGCTGATACTGGTTTGATTATATATGCGTCGATTAAAAATATATTTTTGAAATTTTATAGATATAAGTCAAGTTAGTCATAAAATATAATTATAGGGCACTTTTTTTAATATTTTTGGCGCACCAAAGTACAGGTCAAAATAAGGAGCTTTATCATTACATCCTTCATCCTTTCGTACTAAAATACTCGTATATCGCAAATAAGAGAACACTAGCTGCCTTCGCTCGAATCTACCTTTTCTTATGCAATTAAATCTTCCAGGAACAACACAACTAAATTACAAACATATATTAGCTAATATAATATTTTAAAATTTTCATATAACAAAATTTTTATTTTTATGCTTACATGAAACATACTTGTAAAGCATATCATCATAAACACATTAATGAAATAGGAAATGTGTTTCGGCGTCATAATTTTCAGTTGACATTTTTAAGCGCATAAATTAACAAAGTTCGCCGGCGCGACCCCGTATATTCGGCTTAACCCTTTAGCACCCACCTTGGGTAATTCCCACCCAGCCAACCCAACCCTTTCAGCAATAGAATAAATTACAGGCCGTTTTATGTCGTTGATACCGTCGCAACGAAAATGTAAAACACATTATTTTGAATCCGACCGCTTAGCCTTTATAGGTGTAGTGCCTCATGAGTTGGGTGCAATTAGACAAAAGCCGCTTTTTGAGGATTACCGGTTTAATCATGCCTCAACGCTGAGTAGCTTTTACGATAACGGGTTGAGATATTGAATCTCCGAACGGATTGAATGGAATTTTAAAACCCAGTAAAGGCATGTTGTTAGCCAAATTGGCATTTCAGATAATAGAGGACCTTAACTTAAAGGTAAGCTGCATTTACTATAAAGTTCTCAAAACTACTACTAAAAAATAAATTACGTATGTAATTACTATCAAAGTAAATTAAGAATGAAATTTACTCAACTAAATTACCGAGCATCGTGTATGTTGCGTATTGCCTATTATGTTTTTTGTTTTTATACAATAAAATAAAGAAAAGCAAATATGAGGAACAAAAACGTAAGAGACTGATAATAACTAATAACAATATACGAGTATACCAGATAACCCTTTATCATGCAATCAGATGCCAATACATGTGCCTCTTTTGAATCGAAAGTCGTCCCCTGTTAGCTTCCCCAAAAATTTTTCCACATGCAGTGAATTCCGGCGACTTTTACTAATTTGTCGGTCCATCTTGTGTACCAAAAGATCGTCCATATCTATCCACGCTTTATCTTCCAATACGCTGTCGCCGCTTGAGAACTCTATGGTTACATAGACCATACAACTCCATTTTATAAATACATATTAGGTACGACAATCGAAAGCCAAATGTAAAATTGAGGAGATAAGGTAAAAGTCTGGTCGCCTATAAGAAATGTTTAAGTAAATTACTATGAAAATCAAATTTGCCAAAACTCGCTTTTACCCACTTTTAATCTACAATTTTATACAAAAACTACTTAATTTATTCAAACATACATAATATTATGTAGTATAAATTTATCCGATTCTAAAACTAAAGGGCATTGTTTCATTTCGTATTCGCTGTTCAAAGTTGCAGAAGAAAGGGTAGCGCCAGACCATTTGCATTCGTTAAAAATGCTGGAATTCTTCGCTTTGTGTTTACTGTATGTAATCGGTGTATAGCGCACTCACTCATATATGATACTAAACTTGGTGAAAAATAATAAACTTAAGTATCAAAATCCCATTACATTGCGTAAAATATTATAACATCAAAATCAGTTTTTAAGACACAACAATTTCTATACATATAATAAAATCGTAACATTTAATAACGTACATTGAATATTTTTTGAAATTTTTTATTGAAATAGACTTATATTATCGATACAGAGGTCGAATCTATAGTTATTAAAATTTTTGTCTGTCTGTCTGTCTGTCTCTTACGGAAAAACCACTGGAGGGATTTTGATGAAATTTGGTATGGTGATAGCTGGTTATCCGGGTCAACATATAGGATACTTTTTACCGCGGAAAAATATCTCATTTCTGAGAAAAAAAAACAAAAACTGCAATGTAAGAGTATACTAATATGTAAAACCTAAGAATTAGGTTTTTCTCATTTGAACGCGGGTAGAGCCGCGGGCAATGCTAGTTCTATTATATAAATATAAGGTATCAGTAGGTAAACAGGAAAGGTTCAAATGAATTTAAATAGATTAAGTAACATGCCCGATTTGTTAATGATTTTCCAAACAAATAATAACAACAAAAATCACCAAACAAAAAATTTATAACTATACGGATACAAAATAATTCAGTCTTTATATTCTGCAACATTTTACATCTGAATACATTTCACCACCATCTCTCTACATCTACACTATCTATTTAGACGTAATAAAATATCTTGTAGAAAATCTTAAACTAGAGGTCCAATTATGAGACAATATATGTTTTAGTGTCAATTGTGATAATGCTAGAAATAGCTTTACTATCTACAAAACAAAAATAATCCATAGGTACATACTAATATTATAAATGTGGAAGTGCGTTTGTTTATTTGTTTATCATTCTTTCACGTCGAAATAGTGTGACGGATTGACGTGATTTTTTTGTGTGGATATAGTTGGAGGGCTGGAAAATGACATACATACATTCCCAAGGGAAAAACACCTTATAATAAATACAACCTACAACAACTCATCATACCTATCTATGTATAATGTACCTATGTACATATTGTCTATCTATTGCATAGTAACCGTTAAACTATAACTACAATGAAGTAAAATATAACTATAATGAAGTAAAATTTCTTGAACAAGACAATTTATTAACTAAGCGAAAAATAAACATAAACTCTCAAAACTTTAATAAAGTATCAAGATATCTGCCTCTAAGCACAGTGCGTCCTGAGCGCCTCCCAAGACGTGCCCATCCGCTACATTACTCCTTTCGAAGGGATTTTTTCAGTTTGAAAAATAGCCGCGACGCGAGAGGGTTGAACCAAAACATTTTAATACCATTTCCTAGATTGCCTCTTGCATTTTTCCTGCCGATACCGTTTCCTCGAGCGCTAATCCGCGAAGACGACTGGGATTACCCGGATAAAAGTATTATCGTTTTTAGTGTGATTCCGATGTCCCGGGATTAGGGGAATTTTTAACAACTAAGACCCTCCGCGGTGATTAGAAAGGGTTGGGCAGAACACTTTTAAGTAATTATTTTACATCTCTTCAATCGCTGCTATTAATTGATGGATTTCTCTTACTCTGGACTTGACTTTAAAATACAGT